CCTTTCCCAATCTGGGTAACAATGATTCAACCTGTGTCTTCCAATTCAAGAACTTATCAATTTCAACGCCCAAAAATTTAATATGAGTTTCCTCTTGTAATAATTCATTGTTAAACTTTAAATGTACAGGCATATTGTCACGATTGATTGTTTCAAATTTTAACACTTTAGTTTTCTTCAAGTTTAGGGATAAGCCATTGTATTCAAACCACTGACTTAAGGAATTTAACATAAGTTTAGACCTTTCTTGAATTTCATCGATATTAATACCTGACACTAATATACTTGTATCATCGGCATATAACAATGACTTGTTGTCAGTACTTAATGCTGACGGCAGGTCATTAATATATAAAAGGAACAACAAAGGACCCAAAATCGAGCCCTGTGGCACTCCATATTTGACGGTTCCCCAGTCTGAACAGCATTTTCCATTTTCATTATTATAGAGTTCAACTCTTTGTCTTCTATTTTCCAGAAAGGACTTAAACCATATTTTTATTTTACCACCAATGCCGTATGTTGCTAATTTACTCAAAAGAATATCATGACTCACACAGTCAGATGCTTTTGTCAAATCACAAAAAAATTCCCAATGAATGATTGCGTCTTTCCAACGTTTCTAAAATATGATTAGTCAATGTATATATATTGCCATTTCTGTGTTACTGCCTTCTCTAAATCCAAACTGTGCAAAAGACACTAAATTGTTTGCTTTATCCTATTGTACACCACTCTTTCAAAAATCTTAGAAAAACTTATTAGCAATGATATTGGTCTATAGTTTGCCATAATTGCCTTCTCACCTGTTTTATATATAGGTCTTAATGAGGCAAATTTCATTCTATCAGGATATATTCCATGCTCAAAAGATGCATGAAATATGTGACACAATGGTTTACTTATCTCAGTTATACAGTATTTCAATATCTTACTAGAAATGCCATCATATCCTGTAGAATCTTTTGATTTTTGCAACATAAGTATGCTCTTTATTTCCACCTCCATTGTAGGCATTAGCTTCAGTTCAGGGAATTTATCAAATTTCAAACTGTCTAAGAATTTAATAGCTTAATTTTATTGGCACTTTTCGTATCCAGATTCTCAGCTACAGTTATAAAGTATTTATTGAATACTTCTACTACTTCCTTAGTATTAGTTACTCTGCTATTCCCCACTTTCAATTCGGTTATATTATCTGGGCCCCTCCTTTTCCCAGTTTCTTTATTAATAATCTTCCAGGTTAATGTATTTTGTTTTCCGAGTTACTTATAAGTTTTTGATAGTACAATTTCTTAGCTTCTTTTATTACTTTCGTTAATGTCATACAGTACCTTTTATAGTATGATTCCAATCTTTCATCCTTTGATTTTTTAACTAAGTTGTATAAAGCTCTTTTATGATTGCAAGATGTTCGTATACCTTTGGTTATCCAATTATTGGTGTCTTTCCTTTTTTTATACACCAAGGGAAAGCTGTTTTCTAAAACTGTTAAGAAGGTATTATGAAATTTATTAAATTTCATATTAACGTTCTCTTGATCATAAACTGCTTCCCAATTTTCATTTTGTAATGCCCGTTGGAAATGTGCTATGTACTCATCATTGATATCCCTAAATGCTCTTACATTGGCCCTTTTCTTTATCACCTGTAAATTTTCAAGTACTAAGATTTGTCCATCATGGTCTGAAAAACCGTTTATTGCGGAATGGGTTTGAAATTTATTGAAGACATTCTTATCTAAGAAGAAATGATCTATAAGTGTGACAGAAGTGGGACCTATTCTGGTAGGACAGTCAATTATTTGAGCTAGATTATAAGCATCTAATAAGGATTGCAACTGTATTTTTTTATGGTTTTCATTAAGGTAAATTATATTTGTATTGCCACAAATTATCAGTTCCAATTTAAGGCTTACTAAATATGAAAGTGTAGCATCCNGTTTATTGCGGAATGGGTTTGAAATTTATTCAAGACATTCTTATCTAAGAAGAAATGATCTATAAGTGTGACAGAAGTGGGACCTATTCTGGTAGGACAGTCAATTATTTGAGCTAGATTATAAGCATCTAATAAGGATTGCAACTGTATTTTTTTATGGTTTTCATTAAGGTAAATTATATTTGTATTGCCACAAATTATCAGTTCCAATTTAAGGCTTACTAAATATGAAAGTGTAGCATCCAGCTGCTCAATAAATTGGCTGATGTCCCCATCTGGTACTCTGTAGAGACATAAAATACATAATTTCTTATTACTTATAATTATCTTCACCGCACAGGCTTCGAAAACCTTCTCCCTACTTAACTTATTGAGATCTATCTTTTGATATGTTATATTATTCTTAACTAATATACAAACTCCTCCATTCTTAGACATATTACATGAAAAACCTGTTGCCATTTTATATTTTGTCATGAAGAACATGGATAATTCGTCTGCACTCAAATGATGCTCACTAATACATAAAATATCAGGATTATTATATATATCATTTAAAAAAATAGCTAATTCTTCTTTTTTATTTCTAATACTTCGTATATTTTGATGATATATGACTAGAGAATTCTGCTGACTGCTGTTTCCATTTTGAGTTATTCCCACAAAAAATCCTCACTTCTCGTATTTGGGATCTTCCGACGTTTTCTAGGAGGAACAGTTTGCGACACTACACTAGCTATTCCCTGATCATCAGATGAGATTATTGTTGCGTCCTCCGTCCATGTTAGACTAATCGGCATTCCAATTTGTATTTCCTGCAGCTGCATTTCAATTTTTACTATTAGTAGCCTTACTAGCTTGTCTTTACCTTAGTTTCTTATATGTAGTCCATGACGCATAAAATCTTCTCTTTCTAGGTCTATGTTCATCATAGTCGTATGCCTATATTTGTTGGTAACGTCATTCAACTTTTTATTAAAAACTTTAACCTCATCATTAATTATTGATGTTTCCATCAAATCATGCCTATGGGGGGCACCCATAATTATGACATTGGTGTGTCGATTCCCCAACAAAAAATGATGTATCCACTTAATTCCTCTTCAGGTATTATTCTTCATAATGTCGTTTGACCCTCCACAATATATGAGTATGTCCTTTCCTGTCAATCCACCAATTTCCTGGTGTGCAGTTTTAGTCAATACTTCGACATTTGCTCCAGGTATAACATAACCTATCACACTGAAAGGAAAATATTAAAATGTTTCTTACAGAAACAGTGTGAGAGGGTGTGGACTGGATTCATTTGGATCAGAACGTGGACCAGTGATGGCCTCTTGTAGCGAATATGGTAACAAATATTCTGATTCCATAAAATTGGGAAATTTGTTGATTAAGTGAGCAATTACAGTTTCTCAAGAAGAGGTTGGCTTCATTTTATCAGTTAGCTTTATATATGAAATATTCAACTCATCTTTAAATAAGTATTTACTTGTCTTTGAGCCATGCTTTCCAAAGCAAAATGTAACAAATTAACTCAAGGTTAATGGCTAGATAACAGCTGGTATAAGTACATCCTGTAGACAGAAGGAATCCTTGTTCATTCTCTGTTGAAAAGAATTACAACTATTTGTTTAAATCATACTATAAATCCTACTTCATGATATTAAGAAGAGTAATCAAAGAAGCTAAAATGAAATATTATAATCAGTTAATCACATCAGCTGAAAACAAAATAAAAACTACCTGGAACATTATCAACACTGAAACGGGTAGGACTAAAAATCAGAATAAAGAACGTCTACCACAGACTTTTCAAAATAATAATAAAAAAATAAATACCGAAGAAGCAGCTCATA